CTTCACATAAAAATATTACTAAAAATCCCGGAAAATAAAAAATGCCAAGGCTAAACCTTTACAGATGCAAATTCTTTTGAAGAATTCAGATTAAAGCTGTTTCGTAGTAAAAATAGCTTTTGTCCAAAGAAGCAAAACGCATTTTTGCAAAGATTTATTTCTTAATTATAAGAATTTCTACAAGCTCTCTAAAATCTCCCCCTCCCCCTCGCCCTCCCCTCTCCCTCTCCGCCTAGTTTTCATCTGCATTATTGAAACTGAAACTTAGTTTCATCTGTTTTACGTCGGATTTCCGCAGAAAATTAATTTCTTACGGATTGGACAGTAGTCACATCCGTTTATCATTTTTTAGCTATTTCAGTACTGAGACTGTGCCTCATCGAAAACACATGTGATGCCCTGCTGCTAGTAAGTTTGAGGCACAAACAAAAAGCGTTTCAATAATATTAGCGCCCAAGAATTCGGTTTCGACCACGAAAATTCAATCTGTTTGTGATTTCACTGTGAATCCAATGATAAACTAGCAAAGAGTACACCACAAGGTGTCGAAATCGTAATTAGTTCGGTTCTGAGTAATCTCTGGAAGGAAAAGACAATGATAGCCCTGCTTCGAGTACCTCCACCTTCCGCAAGCTGAGATTTTAATTTTTGGAATAACTGTTATATTTTTTGTAACAAAAATACCAGTTAACTGAAAAATATTTTCCTCGTGTCTTAGCTTGTTATAAATGCCTCTCTGGAAAATTTCTGGTTGCTTTATTGCAGTAATCTCATTGAAAGAATAGCCTGGCTAAGCTAAGAGAAAAAGGCGATAAGACGAACGGCAAGCTTTATAAATTTTAGACTTATTTTAAGTTGTTTTTGTTACGGACTGTAAACGTTCTGTGTTGCACTTAAGAAAGCGCCATCTTTTTATTGTTTTTCCATCCACATCATGCAAAACTTGCAATTTATTTGTTCTCGAGTAGCTTGTGAATGTACTTGTCCTTCTTTCTTTTCGTCTTCATATTCTTGGGGACGACTGCTCCGCCTGAGGGTAAGTTTCGACTAAGCATGAACTGAAGTGCAGCACCCATCAAACGCAAATTCTTCAGTGGCACCATTATTTGCAATCTCTAAAATGATGCAAGAGTGATGGGAATTGAAGAATTCGACTCGAAGTTTTGATTTAAGCAAATCCAAATAAGTTTGTTTAGTTCAGTACAAGCTTGTCCAGAGCGCCAATGCGAGTTTCCTCCTCTAGCTATAAAAAAATCGGAAATTTGACAAAAAGCCGACCCCAATGACTCAGATTTCGTGGCGACAGGCTGCAATAGAACAAATAGGCGGAGGGATGGTGCTGCCACCGGCGTCAAGAAAATAAATTAAAGTAAGTTATCGTTGCTTCGCGCGACTTATATTCAACATTCTGCAGTATGCAAATGAAGCGGCAGTAAAGTGCTTTTTAGGCTTCAAAATTGAATCATCATGAGAATTTTATAGTTAAAAGCCATGAAATTATACAGCACAACATATTTTTATAGAATGTTTATCTGGTGGAAAGTGGCAATTGTACTCGGAGTGTGCTCCGAGCAGGCTTGCAGCTCGATAACAAAACATGGAAGAGCTGACACTACTAATAAAGGGCGCATGAGTAATCAGGTTGGAGCCGTAGGCAGCCACGCAGAATTCGGGTTGGCGCTGCATTCGAGACTGACCAGGAGAAGGCGCAGAGATTCAGTGATTCACTGCCGTGACAAAGAATCTTATTATTTCAAGCCGCTGAATGAATGCTATCGAATTTTTCGAACCGAATTTTTGGCAGTGGATCCGAAACGAAAGCTTGCATACGGTGGCACTCGTAGCGAACATATGCTCAACTGCTGGAAGAAATACCGCGGCAGGCTGCTCGACATAGGTCTGATAGTTTTTTCTTCCTTCCTCTGCAAAAATAACGGTCTCAAAAAAAAAAAATCGGTACATTCAGTGATGGCAGTTTCTGTCTCCGAGCTGCAACAGAAATATTTTTTTGGAAAACGGCACACTCGAAATTTGGTAGAAAAGTCGTCTGTTAAAGTAGCCATTTTTTTCAGATAACTCATTAACAGAAATTTTGCTATTTTGTTAGTGATTTTTAAAACTGAAATTTATCATTCGCTATAAAATAAAAAGCGAAACAGCTGTATTCGTTTCATTTCTACGCTATACTAGCAGTGACCACTTCTTTGAAAGAAGTTTAGATTTTTTCTTTTTTGAGCTACTAAAACAACTACAGCAAACGCAACGTATCATACACAACTTATTAAAGAACGATGCTCACAAAAAAGTAGACAGTCACTGGGGTGATCCAAGAGAGTTGAAGCACATACACTTAATAAGCAACGGACTCCAACTAGAGTTATGCTGTCCAAAATCGAAGGATCTGGTACAGTAACATTTGCGTGTTAGAGCAACAACGTAACATCACCAACATGGAATGCCCACACTGATAGTCCAGTTTATATTCTTGTTTTATAATTGGGACAACTAATATGAAGTCAGATTCCAGTTATTATTACACCCGATCTTCAGTCACACATCGGACAAACTTTATAATGAGATAATCTGGAAAACTTCAAGTAATGTAAAGTTCCAAGTAATGCAAAGCATGTGCCTCATAATTAGCTTTTAAACTCTGCTGTATTCTGATTCGCAAGCTCAGCTTCGAATTGATGCAAAATACGTAACACGAGGACCAGAGAAGTCATTACGTGAAGATTTTGGTGAATTAATCCCTCAGAGAATTCGGTGCTGCAAGCATGAAATTGTTCTTAGAACTAGCTGTTTACTAGCCGGTGACCTCTAACTAAAATTGGGCAGACTGTTTATCTTATAGCTTCTGCAGTTTACTTTTAACTCCGGAACAGATATGCCGCAAACGCATGACTGCGCTGATCGCCAGCTGCTCCTTTCTAACTAAAATATAATGTATTCGATGAAGTGACTCTTGCAAATGAGGTTTAGGATGGAATCACATCGGAGAGAAAATGGAGGCAGTGAAAAAGCTCGTGGTTGATTTTAATCGCAAAACATACAAGCGACAAGCTGTCCAACTTGGTTTCATGATCAATCGGAAGCGCGAACTCATCTCGCAAAACGGTCGATACTTCGATGTACTGGAAAATGTGTTCGTGGAACGTGACAATGCAGAGGATCCTTGTCCTAGTGTGTGTTGCGTAGTTTTTTTGGTCAACGGCACTCATTATACCGATGTGAAACTAGTTGAGACAAGTTGCGATAGCCGGACCCGTACCCTGAGCTACATTTGTGAAGCGCCAGCGCTCATCAGTCCTGAATAATTTTACAGAAAAATAAATATACCAAGCTCTTCCACACTACTGACTTTTTGAATCATCCACAAAAAAAAAACTTAAGGAACATGTGAGTAAGAAAATGTCGCTGCAATCAGTAACGAAAATCCACCGGGCTGAACGCACTACCTCCTCTTCCGGCTAGTTACGGCCGCGGCGTGAACTGCATTTCAGAGACAAGAGGCCCGGCTATATCCTATTTCCAAAGAATAGAGCATGCACAGAAAATGTCAGGTAATTTAACTGAATCACTTCGGAGCAGAGTATTTCTCCGGTCAGCGCAAATCCCCATTTAGCAAAAAGAGCTTTCTACCATTAGTATGGCGGTGCATTTCTCGATGGGGGTACGTTTAGTAAAGGAAACGGGGAAGCACTTTAAGCTAATTTTCAAAAAAAAAACATTTGGGATGAATTTGTTTTTAATCAGCTGAAATTTTTACAACAAAAATACAATAACAAAACCAAAATAATTACTACGAAGGCATTCAATCAATATCAATTTTTTAAAAAAAAAAACTTCTTTATATTGTGCTTTT